AAATGAAGAGTCTGATGCTCAACCAACGGAGCCACCCCGGTGCCTCATGCACCCTTACAGTGTAACTGGAAGCTAAACATTCCAATAGCTGATTTTTGAATGACTGCTTAGGATTCAGACCCACTCGTGGGAGTTTGTCATCACCAGGCTCTAGAGGGAGATTTGAACATGTTTTTTCCTGATCTCTCACAACCAATACACTTACAAAACATAGTTGACTTTTCCACTCTTTTTTTGGGTGCTCAGTATTTTGTGGTGTTTCGGGTTAGAGGAAAGACAGTTGATGGATAGAACTGTCTTCTTTCCCTCATTCCTCACCCTTGATCCTCAGCTCCATCGCTAGAGAGCAGGTTGAACTTGAAGGCTTCAGGGACAGCAATGTTGGACCCACATTTTGATCAGATTGTCTTCTTTTGACTCTGTTATTCTATTTCCCACCAGGATCTTTCTACTTTGGAAAAAAGAAATGTGGAAGGAGTTTTGGAGCTGAGGAATGTGTAGAGGCTGGAGGGGTTTTGAGTTGCATGTTAGAGAAAGCCTACACTGCCTCGAATAAAATGTGATTTAAAATACGGACGGTTGATGTCATTCTCATGAGGTCTCAAGCAAACATGAGGAACATGTTCATGGAAACTGGAATGAAGGTGATCCTTGTGTTAAAGCGGCACAGAAATTGAACTGTGTTCTAGTCTTTTACAGGAAGGTAGAGCTTGGGAGCAACAAGATTGATCTTTAGATTTCAAAGATTCTTTTAGATTTCTGGAGATTTCAAAGCAAAGGGTTGGAGGAGCGGCTTGATCTTCCTGATGTCTTACGTAAAAGTGCAAAAGGAGAAAGATGGATGGAAGAAGGTTTGCTAAGCAAACAGGAGCGGGAATTTGAAGATTTGGCAAATTCTCAGCCTTATTCGCATTACAAAAAATGAGAAAGCTTGATCTGAAGAGAACAGTAAGGCTGTGGCTGCACAACGGGGCTGATGAATAGATCGTGGGTGAGACTCATAAATTACCCAGGCATCTCTGCGGGAGCCAGGAATACAGATGGGATGATACCAAACAGGACAGAGAGAATGGGACAGAGTGAAGGAGGGGTTGTAGCGTTTCTTGGATCCTACAGGATCTGGCCACACAGCTACTCAGCTGTGGAGGTGCTGTTCTTCAAGGAGAGGGAAGAAGGATCCTGCAGGTGATTCAGAGGTCATCACGGCTGTCGCTCCCACCACTGGTCCAGGGACAAGGCTGTTTCCCCCTTGGTTTCAAAGGCTGGGGCTGGGGCTGGGGCTGTGTCTCTGGTTTCTGCCAGAATGACCCCACCCAGTGCCTCAGGGGATGGGGCTGCCCCCACTACTCCCCCAGAGCCTTGCAAGGCGGGGCACTGAATGACAGAGGATTATTCTCGAACCTTAAAATCTAATGGAATTTGCCTTGCTAGGTTTTGGATTTATTTGGGATCCGTCGCCGCTTTCTTCCTTCTGAGTTCTCCTTTTTGGAATGGGAACGTCCATCCTATGCTTGCCCCATCATTGTGTGGAAGGACATAATTTGTTTAGTTTCATAGCTTCACAGCTAGAGGGGAATTTGCCTTGGGGTGACCCATACCCGATTTCAATGATATTTATTATTTTTTTCAAGATTTATTTATTTATTTGAGAGAGAGAGAGAGAGTGCAAGCAGGGGGAGGGGCAGAGGGAGAGAATTCCAAGCAGACTCCCCACTGAGCAGGGAGCCCGAAGCAGAGCTCCATCCCACGACCCTGAGATCATGACCTGAGCCTTAACCAAGTGTTGGACACTTAACCAACTGAGCCACCCAGGTGCCCCTCAAGGATATTTAGATGACTTTGGACTTTTGATTTTATACCTGATGCTGGAATGAGTTAAGACTTTGGGGATGGAATGTGTTGGGATGGAATGAATCTTTTGCATAAAAAAGGACATGAATTTTGGGGGGCCAAGGGGTGGAATGCTATGGGATGAATTGTGTCCCACACCCAATTCATAAGTTGGAGTCCTAATCCCCCATGTGACTGTTTTTGGAGACAGGGCCTGGAGGTGGTAATTAAGGGTAAATGAAGTCCTAAGAGTGGAGCCTGAATCCCATAGCAGGTGTGGCCTTATAAGAAGAGGACAGAGAGAGAAGCCTATCCACAGGCTAGGAAGAGTTTTCACCAGGAACTGAATGGCCAGCACCCAATCTTGGACTTCCAGCCTCCAAAACTGCAAGAGATAACCCTCTGCTGTTTAAGCCTCCCATCTTTGACATAGCAGCCTGCTGTCCTGTCTTGTTCCGAACATTCCCCCCAATGTTCCCAGAACCGTTCCCAAGTTGGCAGCCTGTCTTGTCAATCAAAGTGTCAGCAGGTGTTACCTCAACCCAATCCCCAGACACCAGAAACACCCCCTCCCCGGTGATGCCACCCTGCAGTGTCTTTGTAAGAAAAACCCCATAGCTTTGCCTCTTTTTCATTTGTTTTATTAGCATCAATATATACAAAGTGGAAAATGACTTAACTTCATTATTCTAGCTTAGAAAGTTTGTTTTGCTTTTTATTCTGTTTGGGGATAAAATGAAAGTGAAAACGTCCCAGGAGAAAGCCTACCTTTGAGGGTGCTGGACAACTCCATAATATCTGACCTCGCATGACTGCCCCGTCCCCCACCCCCATGACTTCTCAAGGGCATAGGAAAGTCATACCCTTCGGATTTACCCCCAAAGAAAGGTCATTTTTGCCCAAGGCTTATGCGCAGCCTTAATCTACCCATATATTTGCCAAGTCACTTCTGCTTATACAACCCATCCTAATTATGTTGCCGCTTTGCTTCCTGCTGGGCAGTTTTGCAGTTTCCAAAGCTATCAGCCTGAGTTACTGGAGACTTTCCACGGAGCTGGCTTCAAAAAAATCATATTTAAAGCATGTCTATGGAACTAAGTAGGATGGCCCTCAAGTTGCAACCAGCATACTTATGTTGGCTAAATAATTCTACTCCTCCCCACCCCCCCCAAAAAAAAGCAAAAAGAGGAGCTCCAAGATGAAAAGGATCGAGTGTGTGCATTTTTAAAGCACAGGGCGGTAGCTGACAGATACAGCTTATATGAATTAGCATGTAATACACACCATCACATGCATTCTTTGAAGCTCGAAATCTTTGTAAACGTATTTCCCCACTGTTTTAAAAACAAAGAGTGGCTTGTAGGAAGGTTCAGTTGGTTCTTGAGTTGCTCAAGATTGTATCCTGTTCAAAAATATTTAATCCCAAGGGGTTTTGACATTGATCTTATAAAAACAGACACGTATGAGCTGAAATGAGATGCCCAGTACATTTTTGGCACTATTATTATGTTTTTACCTTTACGTATTACAAATACACATTGAGATATCCTAAAAAGAAAAACAGACACCAACCTGTCTTTCCAATCACACTGTACATTGCCAAGCTCACACGATCCATCTGTGGTGAAAATAAACTTTTAAAACATGGTCATAGGCGTTGTACTACTAAGACAAAACTAAGACATCGGTATCCTGAAAAAAAAAAATCAACACCTTTTCTATTCCTCCAATAGCCAATAAGGATTCTTGGGCCACTTTTAGGGAACAGGGTTAGAATAAAGATTTCATATTTTGTCAGTCTCGACAAAAGACAAATGTTTAGTTTGCACGTAACCATAGTATGTTCTAAAATTAAATATCATTAATAGAGTTCTTCCTTCCAGATGACCCAGGGTTAGGGTTAGAATAAGCATCAAATGGAAATAAAAGCAAAGACTGGATTCTGCCTTTTAAAAAAAAGTTTACATTATTTGCATCGTTGGACCTTCTCCAAATATGACATTACTTACTAATGGTCTGGAACAATTCTCCTCTGGTTGTTTTTTGTTTTTGTTTGCATAAAATGGGGTGGGTTTTGGGTGGCTGGAAAGCAGCCTTGAATTATCTCTTGCTGTGTGTCATGAATGCATGCCTTAAGGAGCTTATAAGCAGGATTCTTTTGTGGCAGAAGGAAAGTATTGAGCCTCAGGTCCCCCAAAATTGAAGCCCAAGCTTCTATCCAGGAGGAGACAATGTGTATGTCAAAACCAACTGCCTTACCCTTGCTCCAGAACTGCCTAGACAAGCTACCAAAATATGGACTATGTAACTATGTGGGTGAAGCTCCCCATGGGCATCTACAGTCACAGCTTGAGGGGACCCCGCTGAAGAAAGGGATCGGTTCTGTCACCTGTAGCATAAATTCCCTTCCCTTTCATTATTGGTGGAGGGTCAGAGGAAAGAATGTTTTACTAACTTGATCCCCTCACTCAATGCCCCCCCCCACCCCCGCACTCTCTCTGAATTCTCAAATCTCTCATCTACCCTGCAACATTTTCTGATTCTGCCAGCATCCAGTGAGGCCAGGGTGGCAGACGAGAATGCTCATGGTCACACCTTTGCCGCCTTCGGAAGGATCATGGGAGGGAGGGGATGTGGCGAGACCTTCTAGAAGCTGAGAGCATTTGGAAGAGCGGACCTGGGATTTGTTTTGGAGCAGACCTGTTCAAGCTAAAGTCCGACCCAAGTTAATCCATCAAAAGATACCCTTTCCAACCTAATCCTGGGGCTTGGATTTGTCCTAAAAGCACCAAGGGCATGGATCCCAAATGCGTGCAATTTGATGCAGCAAGAGCTGCAGATGATGGCCCCTGCTGATGGGGAAACCCAGCTGCTTTTTTTTCCCCCCTTTGCTGCCATGTTGGTCATTTTGCAGGTCATCCGCCTGCCTTTGGAAAGGAGATTGTCACATGAATTTGGCCGCAGCTGCGACACCTCCAAACACACCTATTTCGATTTTAAATATAATAAATACAGCGAAGAAAACAGTGAATCTTCAATAAAGAGTCTAAAGAAAAGACGGACAACATTCTGGGGTTTCGATCAAATGCCACGTGGTCTCTGGATGAATTTCTCAAGGAGGTTGTAGTTGAGTTCCGATCTGTGAGCTCCCTTCTCAGGAGCAGCTCTCCTTAAATGGAAACTTCATACTCCCTGGTTTCCTGCAAGAGAGAGAAGCACAGATTGGGTACAAACCTTTGGGTGGTGGAGCCACAGGCAGAGCATGCCTTGAAAGCCTTTAGTCCTAGCCGAGGAGGTGCAGACTGTGGAGAGCAGAGCCGAGTCACCCGACCAACAACCCGCCCATCCCAGATGTGTGAGTGAGCGCAGCTGAGCCAGGACAACCACCCAGCTGCAACAAGCTGAAAACACTGCCCTGCAGACTGATGAGCAAATTAACATCGCTTGCTTTGAGCGACCAAGTTTTGGAATTATTTGTTACTTAGCTTTATCATAGTGCTGGGTAGCTGATACACTATACTAATAAGTATTAGTTTCTGAAGTGCTCTTTTTTTTTTTTTTTAAATCAGCTTGACCTTCTTTTCAGATTTGGAAACAAGGTATATAGAATGTAAAATAACATACGACCTCTTCTTAGCAGTTCCATATCGAAAATGACTACAACACGTGGGTGGCAACTCCTTCAATTTCTCCAATATTTGTCAAGTGTGTGTAATATATTCCAGGCCTTCAAGGCAGAGGAGCTGGGAGATATAAGAAGTCAGAGGCTTGGCCCCAGAAGAGGTCATTGCCACATTGCTTTCATGGAGGTCTACTGTTCCTGCTGGGTTAACACAGATAAGCAAGCATATCTATGGTAGATGGGAGTATGGTGGGAAGACTCAAAGGTGGGCCCCCTGCTCCTCATCTCCTAGTGGTCACATTCTTGCATGATCCCCTTTCCTAAGTGTGGGCAGGACCTGTGATTTGCTTCTAACTCGTAGAATACAGCTAAGGTGCTAGGATATCTTGGCCATGCATCATGGTGCCCTGCAAATTTTCCATGGTCCCTAAAAATGATGATTTGTTATAATCAAGATACCCATTGGCCTATTTGATTGTTTGAGGTTCAGGGGAGGTGGGATAATATAATGATTAATGGCATCAGTCTGAATTTGTATCTTGGCTCCAAGCCATGCTTTTGGCTGTGTGCAACCTTGGCCAAATCATTTGTTTGTCTCTCTGACTCTCAGTATCATCATCAATCCATCAGAGGTAACTGCATGGTATACAACAGAGTTGCAGGGATTTGGGCAGCTTATGCATTCAAGGTGCCCGGCTCATGGTACATATTCTTATTATTATTATTACTGAGTTCTGTCTCCTTTGCAAGACTATAAGCTCATTAATGGCTGGACCAGGTCTATTTGGTTTACAACTGTGTCCCTAGTACCCAGTACAAAGTCTGCCACCCAAAAGAGAAGAGAGACCAACTCACCCCTGTCTCATAAATGGGGTTGTCAAACTCGGTTTCCACGGTGATCTGGCTGTAGGGGTGGGAGTACATCAGGGGCAGGCGGAGGTTGGAGTAATAGCGACATCTGGAAAAGGGACAGCGAAGGAGATAGGAGTTACCATACCAGAGGAGGACAGCTAGCTGGGGCCCCTTCCCAGGCATGGGCACCTCTGCAAATGCCAAGAAGGTGTGCAGAAACAGCCTCTTGCAGTGAGAATCCAAGTGGGTGAACGCCGAAATCATAACTGCTCTCAACTTCTAAGCGGGTGACTGACAGCTTAAGCCTCAGTACCTCCCCTTCCTGGGAGGGGGGGAGCTCAGCTGGTTTTCACCTGCAAGGTGATTTGAGCCCCTCTTTCACACAGAGTGATAACAGCAATAATCAGCATTTACTGAGCACCAACTATATACCGTGTTGCCTCAAAACAACCTTCTCTGACTACCTATTTAAAAAGTGGTTCTTCTGTTACCACACCCTATCTCTTTCCTTCATTGTGCTCATCACAATGTGTTGTGCTATAATTTGTGTATTTCTGTGTATTACACTGTTCGTGTAACACAGTGTGTCATAATTTGTGTATTTCTCCTCTCCCCCTTCAACACTGTGGGCTCCACAAAAACAGAAAAAAAAATGATATTGGGCAGACGCCTGCCTCAGGGCCTTGGCACATACTGTGTATGTGCCTGGAATCCTCCTCTTCCAGATATTTGCATAGGTTACTTGTTATTGCTTTCAAGTCCTTACTCAAATGTCGTGTCTCAATGGGGACTCCTCCTCTAGAGTGCAATCACCACCCCTACTCCAGCTCCCTTTTGCTCCCTAATGTACACCCTTGACCTTTGAACAACACAGGTCTGAACTGCACTGTTGACTTATATGTGGAATTTTTGATAAGTATAGCATGGTCCTGCAAGTGTATCTTCTCTTCCTTATGATTTTTTTTCTTTTTTTAAAGATTTTATTTATTTATTAGAGAGAGAGAGAGAGCACAAGTGGGGGGTGAGGAGCAGAGGGAGGGAGAAGCAGGCCCCCCTCTTTATGATTTTCTTCATAACATTTTCTTTTCTCTAGTTTACTTCATTGTAAGAATACAGTATTAGGGATGCCTAGGTGGCTCAGTCTGTCGAGTGTCCAACTCTTTATTTCAACTCAGGTCATGATCTCAGGGTCAGGAGATCCAGCCTCATGTCAGGTTCTGCACTGGGCATGGGGCCTGCTGGAGATTCTCTCTCTTCCTCTCTTTCTGCCTTGCCCCCAACCCCCACGCTCACACTCTCTCTCTCAAAAAAAAAAAAAAAAAAAGAATACGGTATATATTACACATAACATACAAAACACATGTTAATCAACTGTTTATGTTATCAGTAAAGCTTCTGGTCTACAGTAGGCTATCGGTAGTTAAGTTTTCAGGGAGTCAAAAGTTATATATGCAGATTTTCGATGCACGGGGTGTCGGCGCCCCTCACCCTCCTCACATTGTTCAAGGGTAAACCGTATTTACTTATTACACTTCATTTGCTGTCTATCTTCCTCCCATTAGAAGCTGGGCCCCACATATCAAAGATCTCCTTCGGTTTTGTCCACAGTGATGTTCCTAGAACTGTCCCCCACCCCCCAAACTGCCTGGCACATAGTAGGTGCTCAATAGTTGTGAATTTGAATGAATTAGTGAATATCCTAGCCATGGCTAAATACCTTCCTTCCTCATTGCAGGCAAGTTCTATGATCCCCAACACACAGGACAATGTCTGGTATGTAGTAGATTGTCGACACATGTTTGTGGAGTAAGTGAACGAATGAATGAGTGCATGATGGGATCGATGTCAGTGTGTCTATCTCTCCCATTAAACCACAGCTCCTTGAGCTCAGGGGTACTGCCTGCTTATTTGCTGCTGCATGCTCAGCCCTCCTGCCTTGGATGGGGTGGGAGGTGCTCAGTAGGAGTATTTCTCCCAGCGCTGAGTTGAATCATGTCATCTCCGAGCTCCCAGATGCCACCGACCCCAAGCTACAGATGGAGACCCTGTCCTCCAGTGTGCTGGTCATTGAGTGGATGGCAGTGCCCCACACCGTGCCCCGAAGACCCCTACCTGGTGATGTAAATGTAGGCTCCTCCCAGCAGTAAGGAGATGATGAGGACTGGGATGAAGATAGCCAGTGCCATATTTCCCCCTTCCAGCGATGTCTCGGCTGCTGCTTCTGCTACTAAACACATAAGCCAGTGAAGCCCTCCGGTCTCACACCCTCAACCTGCATGGGCAGGGTTCCCAGGTGGGCACCTGCCTTCCCAGTTCTGCACTCATTGAAAGAGCTGACATCGCAGAGCCTTAGCCGTTAGACCACCATCCCCAGAGGGGAGAAGAGGCAGAGATTAGAGATAATGGGACTGGTTCTTTGCAACGGAGCCCAGACCCATCCTTGGGTGGGGTGGTCATGGGGCTACCGAGAATGACACTCTTTTAACCCGTGGTCATACCATGCCCATTTTTTGGCGGGGGGGAGTTGGCTGCAGTTGAAATCTGGTTAAAATCCAATTCAAGGAGAGACTTGGAGAAAATCCCATATGTGCTAACCGGGAAGGCAGATTTGCTTGACATTCCATGGGAAAGGCATAACTCCTTGCACCCAGACTGACAGGTGCCTCCCAGAGCTGCCCTATCAGACCCTCCAGGAGAGGGCGCTGGGCAGCTGGGCCTGTTCTCAGTACTGCACCCCGCCGGGCATGACACTCCAACTGTGAAGACCCAGTTTTGATTCTCAGAGGCCACGGTTGCACCCTCTTGGCCTCGCCTGGAGGCCAACTCCCAACTACCTTCCACTGGTTTGTGGAAATTGTAAGAACTACAAAAGCTGTTGTGGGGGCCAGGGGCGTGTTCTCAGCACAGCCTGAAGGGAGACCCCACATCTCCTCCGGACACCCGCACTCGGGTTTTCTTTGCCATTTCTCCACGGCCACGGCCCACAGAACTCGGCTATAGGCCAATCTATAATCCATTAACCGCCACTCTACGAAGTCTGAAAAATCGATGCTAACACCCATGACAAATGCATGAGCACAAAACATTACAATGGCTCTCATCATCTCTGAGCAACCCAGGCCTTTAAGACGTTCCGATGGTTCACTGGTTGCCGAAAGGCAACGAAGGGATGGCCTGACGTGACAGACATTAACACCCCGAAATGCTCTCCCTTTTCCCTGCAGAGTGACTCATACACACGCTCCACCTCTGCACTTATGCTTGAGCCCGGCTATGCCTGTTGGGATTAAAATGTCATCTGTATGGGGCGCCTGGGTGGCTCAGTCATTAAGCGTCTGCCTTCGGCTCAGGTCATGATTCCAGGGTCCTGGGATCGAGCCCTGCACTGGGTTCCCCGCTCGGCGAGAAGCCTGCTTCTCCCTCTCCCACTCCCCCTGCTTGTGTTCCCTCTCTCACTGTCTCTCTCTCTCTGTCAAATAAATAAATAAAATCTTAAAAAAAAAAAACTCATCTGTTGCAAAGGAGAGCAACTAATGACACGTAATTCGCATGGCCCCACCTTCTGAGTGAATGATTTATTGTCAGAAAGCTAAATGGCTCCAAAAGTGATAATAAAAACTCCTTAATTGGTTAACACTTTTTAAAAATAAAAATGAAACTATATATATCTTATGACACCACAGCCCCAGTGAGTGGTTTGGTACCCAAGTGAATGGAGGTTATACAGAATATAGAATGTTTTATGTATGGGAGGGGTTGAAAGGGAAGGGAACCACAAAATAAAAACCCAAACAAAATCCTGGCTAGTGTTTACTATCCATTCCCCATTAATAAATCTCACTTGGTAATTCTTAATAGGAGGAGAATAGAAAACAAGGAGGATACAGGGACAGGTAACTTGGGGAAAATGGACCACAGAGCATCTCCCAGGCAGACAGGGGCATGCTCAGCATGGAAGGTGAGGCATCACTGGATTTACATCCCCCAAATAGCACCATGTGGATGAAAAGTCATACAGCTGGGTTGTGCCTTTCTCAGGCATGTGGACCCTCAGATTTTCTTACCTCAAGAACAGAATTGGTGACAAATCCCTTTCAGGTCATAGTTAGGACCCTAGGTTGCAAATTCAATGGTTTGTTTCTTTTACAATGTTTTATTTTGAAATTATCTTCAGTAGTGTAGAGATGGAAATTCTGCTTATTTTTTAAAGCACCTAGAGAAGGACAAGCAAGGACCTGCCCTTGTTTTCTGCTATTAGCTTGATTTATTGGATTTTTTTTTCATTATGGAACTCACCTTCTAATGCATGTTCAAAGCTGTCTTGATTAACTGAAAGGGAAATTGGAAGCATTGGTTAATGTCGAGTTAATTCACTCTGCATGAAATGAAGCCAAAAAATTAAGAGCAAAAACCTGTGCCATGCTTTGCTGAAGTTAGTGATCAGCTTTGATTTATCTTGGGCTCCTGGAACTAGTGGAAGTGCCTGGACACATTCCTTTCCTAGGTTCCTGAGAGATCATGACATATGTATGAAAGAAACAAGGACCATAGTAGTCCCTGTGATTAATTACTGAACACTCATGGTATGTCCGATACTGTGCCAAGAGGTTTCTGTATGTATCACTTATGCCCACAACAATCTCACTAGGTGGATACTATCATCATCCCCATTTTACAGATGAACAAACAGAGGTTCAGAGAAGTGAAGCAATTTCTCCGATCTCACACAGCTTCTGAGGGATGAAGGCAGTCTTTAAACCCAGACTGCTTGTCTTTCCCCAGCTTCTGCTCTTAATTACGTAGTTCTGCTCATTTTCATTGTTCCCTATGTAGGTCAAAGGTTGACGAACAGTGAAGCTCAAGATAAAGCCCCACTTCCAAAATCCAGCCAGAGCTGAAACTGTTCTCCTGCTTTGAAATACGTGTTTATATGAACCTTTCCAGTTTTACTTCTATTCCATATTTATTTGACCATTATTTGTATTCCCTATAAAACAATTTCCATTCACTGCCACAGACTAGAACTCTCTGGAATTCATTCATTTCCCTGTATTCCCTGTAAAACTTCTCTGGAAGTTCAAGATGATGGGGACTGGCATTCCCAGGCTTTGGCACCAAAGACAAAAATATACCCATGTGGATGGGTTTCTAAGAAGCAAAACCCCAGAGTAAAGGGCTTAGATAAACAGACTGCATTATAAGGGGGTGGCAGGGGATGGCCACCAAAGGCCCAGCTGTATGCACGTCCTAATACTGAGACTTCTTAGTTTGTGCCTCGGTCAAAGTCATTCTTTGACATTGGTCATTACCATGTGATGCCAACAGAACCAGTTGAAAAGCTAGCTTACTAACTAACTAACTACAGGTTATCTCTGGAGCTATGGCATCAGGAAAATGGAAACAATGAGATAGATACTTCCTGCCCAAGACATGAGCTGGACTTGGGTTGAGTGTCTGGGAATGCACGAACTCCTACTGCATCTCAGAGCGGAAGGAGACTTTGAACTTTTGTCCCTGGGAGTGCGGTCAATGGCCCCCTGGGGCACAAGTTAAAATGCAACCTCCAGGGCCCTGCCTTTTCCTTTTATTTCACACAAAGAGAAACTGAGGTCAGGGAGGGAGGGTGGCTTGCCCAAGGTCACGCAGGTGGCCCACAGCCCAACCAGGCTGAATCCCAGGGCCTCCGAGTCCCCATCAGGTGGCCTTACATTGGCCCTCAGTCACTTAGCCAACTCCAGAACACAAAGCCATGCACCCCACTTTTTTTTGGAAGAGGAGGTGATTTGTCACATCCTTACAGAGTCGTGGGGTCTCAGGAGTGGAAGTGGAGGGGAGGGAAAGATGGAAGCCTCCCCTAAGATCCTTTCCTGCCAGAAACTCTGTCACACCTGATGAAGAAAGTGAGGGGCAGGGGGCCACTCACTTGCTGGGCCTTCAACGGCTCACCTATCTTACAGCATAGAAGTTTCAGGAATGCAAAACTGAGCACCTTTTATCTTTTCTTGTGTTTTTGATCATGTATTTTCAGATGGCAGTTCCATCTTCCCATCAGATTGGCAACATAAAAAAAAAAACTGATAACATCTAGTGCTGGCAAGGATGTGGGGAAAAGGACATTATCACACATTATTAGAGGGGGAGCATGAATTACTACAGTTGCAGAAAAGAATCTGGCAAAACCCACAAAATCTCAGCATCCACAGATCTCTGCCCACACCATCAATCCCCCTTGGAGGAATCTGTCATACCCGATGAGAAACGTCAGCACCCAAAGATTCATGGGCAAGGCCATTTCTGAGCAAAAGGAGACAAAACAAACAAGAAACCTGAAAAGAACTGGTAGATCCATGCACAGAGGAAGGAGCGGATGCATTAGGAGACATCAGTGTGCAATGCCCCATGGCAATTAAAAAGATAAGACAGAGCTCCATTTTTTCTTTTTTCCAACGTGACAGATGTGTGTGATAAATGGGGGAAAGCAAAACACAAAATACGTATGGTGTGAGGTGTTTTTTTACTTGGCAACAAATGAATACTCCCTGCCCCTCTCTTTGCAGTGTGTCTACTTGTGTTAAGTCCAGGGAACTGGGGAGACTGGACACTCATGGGTGATCCAGACTGGCTTCCCAGGGATGAATGGAACAGATGGAGAAAGGAAGGGAAAAAGAGCTAATGCTTCGTTGGCAACTTTGGTTTCTTCCATTTCTTGCATGAGATACTTTTGTAGCGAATCCAAAAAGAAACATAAATAATCAGGGGGCAGATCACATATAGAGTCAAAAATGGCCCTTCCAGGGTATCCTTACTTAGATTTCTTAAAAACAACCCCTATTAATTTTCCTCCACGCACAACACCAGATCAACTTCTACGAACGTCCATGTAGCAGTTAGAAGGTTTACAGGCAATCTTTCCCCCGGGGGAAAACATCCCAATGTTTGAACTCTACAGAGTGGATTGCCTGTGCTATCGAAAACAAATTGAAACACAGGGCTGGGCTTCGTCAAAAATGATGGCAGGGAAGAGGAGGGAGGCATTTGTCTTAAATCCCAGTGGCCGGGGACGCCTGGGTGGCTCAGTCTGCCTTCGGCTCGGGTCATGATCCCAGGGTCCTAGGATCGAGCCCCGCATCAGGCTCCCTGCTCGGTAGGAAGCCTGCTTCTCCCTCTCCCACTCCCCCTGCTTGTGTTCCCTCTCTCACTGTATCTCTCTCTGTCAAATAAACAAATAAATAAATAATCTTAAAAAAAAATCCCAGTGGCCAGTTTCTTATTTTTCTCTGCATTTCAACAGGATCTCTTGCCCTTTTATTAAGAACTGCTTCTATAAGGTCTTGGCTCTCACAGGATAGGCTCCTGCTTGATTCCAGGTGAGAATATGCAGCACCTCTATGCCAGTGTTTCTCACACTTGCCTGATGATCAGACTCACAGCTGGTGCTAGTGACCCTGGTTCCCTAGCTCCTGCCCGAGACCCTGTGAATCAGCATCTCCCCTGCAGGGGCCCAGAAGTCTGTTTATATTTGCACCCCACATTTAGAAACCACTGCTTTAAGTGATTCTCAAATTCAAAGTGCATTTGAACAACCCAGAGCTTGTTAAGATGCTTATTTCAGGGTCCTGCCCCTCAGTGATTCTAGTTTTGTAGATATGGGGTAGTAGATTCAAGAATTTGTTTCTCATAAGCAGTCTGGGTGATTTGAATGCTGAAGCGACTGGCAGGTTGGAAGCTATAGCCTAACAGCCTTAAAGTCCACCCTAACAGCCTCAAAGTCCACTCTAACAGCCTTAAAGTCCACCCTAAAGGCAGCTCACTGGGAAAGAGGCAGGGAATTTACAATCAGGAGATGTGGGTTCAAATCCTGGATTTGTCTCATAATAGCTGTGTGGTTTTGGAAAAGTCACCTAACGTCTCTGAGCCTGTCCTTTTGTAACCATACAATGGGTAAGATGCCTCATCTATCCTAGAGTGTGGTCTTGAGGTTTAAATGAGGCGATTCAAGAAAAAAATCTTTAAAAAAATAGGTAAATTTCACATAACATAAAATCAATCATTTTACAGTGTACCATTTGGTGGCATTTAGCACATTCATGATGTTGGGCAGCCACCACCTCTATCTAGTTCTAGAACATTTTCATCACCCCTAAAAGGAAACTTTCTACCAACTAAGTAGTTACTCTTCTCTCTCCACCCCAGCCCTGAGAGCCACCAATCTGCCTCCCATCTCTATGGGTTTACCAATTTGGGATATTTCACATAAATGGAATCATAGGATATGTGATCTTTTGTGTCTAGCTTCTTTCCCTTAGCATCGTGTTTTCAAGATCCATTCAGGCTGTGGCAGGTGTCAGCACTCCATTCCTTTTCATGGCTGAATAATATTCCAGTATAGCTCGGACCACATTTTATTTATTCATTCTCCAGTTGATGGACATTTGGTTAGTTCCCATCTTTTGTGAGCAATGCTGCTATGAATATTCATGTACATATGAATATTCAAGTACAAGTGCTGCTGTGAGTACTTGTTTGCAATTAATTTGTGCATCTACCTAGGAGTAAAAATGCTGGTTGGAAAACATTTGTAAGGCTTAAGGTTGAAGTTCATGATAAATCATTTGGGGATCCATTGAAGTTATGGGTTCCCAAGTAGAAACGTTAAACTCCATGATGCCTCCATCCCTGCTGGGGAGAGAATTCAGAACTTTCTGCCTCACTCTCAAAGGGGTATTAATGCCATAAAAGTCCAAGATCTATTAGCCTAAAGCATCGGATATTGTTATTAATTGCATGCCTCAAAGACCCAGATAAATAGACCCAAATCTCACTGGCTATGTCGAAACTTAATTTCAGTGATGAAGGTGTCACTGATTTTATTTTATTTTATACTTCATTTTATTTTATTACATCACGTTAGTCACCATACAGTACATCATTAGTTTTTGATGTAGTGTTCCATGATTTATTGTTTGCGTATAACACCCAGTGCTGCATGCAATACGTGCCCTCCTTAATACCTATCACCGGGCTAACCCATCCCCCCAACTTCCTCCCCTCTAACAGCCTCAGATCACTGATTTTAAAACACGTTTTCCCTCTTCACCGTCTCTGGGATGGGGGCGTGTTAATCCGCCGCCACCAGGTGGCGCTCACGATGGCTCAGTGCGCGCCATGGTCCAGCGCACCATCATCAGCGTTTGGAGAGGGTGTGAGCAGCAGGGGAGACCACCCCAGAGGCAACAGAGGAGCCCTCGTAACCCCTGGGAACCAAGTGGTTGTGAAAACGGGGTGCAGGAGGCAGGGAATGTTTAAGCCATGTAACCGAAGCAGGAGTCCAAAGCAGAATGGCTCTCTCCGTTATGATAAAAATCGAAGCTCGCAACAGAGCTTTTAGTAAGTAGAAATAAAAATGCTAAGCCGGGAGAAGGCATTGTGCCATCGTTTAATTGGCAGCAATTTTTTTTCTTTCTCAGTGGTGCAGAAAATAATGGCGGTATCTTAGATGTCATTAAATACAGTAGCTGGACTTTTTAGAGCAAATTGAGAATCATAACAAGAAGCCAGACCTGACATCTCCCGGTCCCCATCCCCAGATGGTGAGTAGGTTTCTTTACCTTTACAAACGGGCAGGGGCCCGTTCCAGTGGGATGGCTGTCCCAGGATGCATCGAATGGTCACTTCGCCCATGAGCTCAAAGCCTTCGTAGCACATGAAGGTGAGGGACTCTCCTGGCAGGTAGAGCCGCTTATACAGGATTTGGTAACCGTTTTCAGGCAAGCCAGGGTTGTCACACGCCAGGGACTCTTCCGCTGAAATACAAGCCCAAAGCAGCTCTGATGAGATCACGCAAATCCTGGGGGACTCCCACTCACGGCCTGTCTGATCTGGCTTTGGCCAGCCTCGCCAGGACCATCTCTCTGCGTTCTCCTCACCTCCAACCCAGACTCACCTCCCTGTCTCCCACCTCTGGCTGCACATTATGCATGGGCACCATCGAATGTCCCAGGATGTGGAATCTGGCTTAAAATCTGGGTTCTACTACATACTCGCTGTGTGACCTCCAGCAAGGGCCACAACCTCTCTGAGCCTCAGTTTTCCTCATCAGTAAAATATGAATAATAGTGGTATCTGTCTCATAAGGATTTGGGAGATTAAATAAGATCATGAATATAAGGTGTTTAGCATGTTCTTGGCAGGTTGTAGGTGCTCAGTCAATGATGGATGGCCGTGTTGTCAAATTATGAAATATTCTTCTTGCTCCTCACCTTACACCTTACCTGCCCAGCCAACCTGGTTAAGTCTGGTCTTTCAGTACTCAGTCCTCATTTCTCTGCCTCCAAGGAGCCTTCCATGGTGCCCTCCACCCCTAATAGAATCACTAGTCTTCCTAGTTCCTCCCCCACGCCAGCACTGAACACACTGCATTGTATTTATTATTTAATATCTGTTTTCCTCATTGGAGATGAAGCTGTTAGGGCGTCCTTGAAGCTCAGGGCCTGCTCTATAAGGACTATCATATATGATCCTAAATTATACAGTAGGAGCATCATAAATGACACCTGGCAGCTTAAGACATACCGGAGAGTTGAATCCATCCCTAGTTTAATCTATTCCAGGCTCTGGACTCCAACTTCCCTGCCTGTTACATAAATGGACTGGACCAAGGACCCCATCCTTAGCTGAAATGTGGCTGGCAATGACATTCCCATTCCAATGATGTACCCACACTTTGAAATAAGATCATCTAAAGCAGGTTTTCTCAACCTAGATGCTACTGACATTTTGGGCTGGGTAATTCCTTGTGGTGGGGCCATCCTGCAACGTCCACGTTGCAGGACATGGAGCCACATCCCTGACCTCTACCTACTATTTCCTTGGGACAACCAAACATGTCTCTAGGACATGACAAATGTTTCCCAGAAGCAGTGTCTCCCCTGGTTGAGAATCACTGATCTTGGCTCTCAAACAATTCCGTGAGAACTCATCTTGTTCTTTCTCAGGAGTACAATTGAGTTGGACCGGCGGTCTTAGAAATGATCACAAACCTACCCTTGTTTCTATTTTCCTCCCATTTCTCCCCTCTCCTTAACTATAGGGGGAAATGTACATTTTTTGGGAGCACATTTGAACAAAATGTCAAAATCAGCTTCTCCAGGTATTGCTATGAATGGTTTGTAAGATACCCCACAAATAAAGAAGCACTGAAACTCTGTGGTCATTAGCAACTGGTGGTACCCAGGCACTCACTGTATGCCACACACGTTGTTATGAGCTTCTATATTTATGGCTGGAACCATCATCCTTTTTGATGAGGATGCCGGTTTGTTCAAAGTCACCCAGCTAGCAAGTGGCAGACCCGCTGGGTTTGAAATCCGGTGCGTTTAATGGCTCTGGGTTAGTGGCCCGGGGTGGGGAGGCCCTTCATGTGCCAAATCCCCTGGGCTTTCATGAATTCCTCTGAGCTATTGCTTTCTCAGACACAGAAATTTCTAAATGAATATGGGGCACCCAACTGGAAGCCGGCATGGGAGCCAAGGTGAGGCCGCTGGGGACGACACATCATTGGAAACTTTTATTATGGCCACGGTCTGGCCATGTGGGCTCTGCCCCAGTCAGGAGATCGCCACATCTCATTTGTGGTGTTCTGAGGGCAGGGCGGTGCAGAGCCAGGGCCTCCTGGGAATCCCTAAGTGTTTCCCTGGGGAGCCACCCATAAAACCCTTGCTGAATTTGTAGGCTCGTCATTACTTTTGGTGGTGCGGTTTATATCTTTGGGATGGGAGCCTCAGGAGTCAGGTACCATCAAAGAAGGGAAGTCGAAACAATGACCGCATTTCGTACTGCCAACAACATCAACGGTAGTAAGAGTAGCAAGTACTGTCATTTCTCAAGCCTGCAAAAACCCATTGGATATAATCCTGGCAAGTGAGTTATGTATTCGGTTCTACAAAGAGATAAAGAGATCATTTCAACAAGCTGCCGCAAGTGCTGTGATCAATGTAACTGTAGGAGCCATGGGAGCTTACAGGAAGAGAAACATGACCTAGCCTGGGCAGTCAGGGTGGCCTTCCTGGAGGAGATGATGCTGGAGATTCATTGTTATTTCCCTCATAGACTTGGCTCTCCTCCTCCCATCTCCAACAGACCCCAGGCTCCCTGAGAATGTGGATCATGTCTGTTTAGACACTGCTGTATTTTTAGGGCCTTTGCACCACAGTTCCCAAACTGTGCACCGAGGCACCCTCGGGTGCCACCATGAACAGCACCCCTGTGAGATTTTTCAAAAATTTGAGGAGACAGAGGGACATCTCCCAGACCCATGTGAATGGTGCCAACATTAGACAGAGCTACATTTCTTTTGATGATGCCCTGTCTTTGCAAAGCTGGGTTTTTTGCAGGGGTTACACTAAAAAGCAAGAGCTCTGATAAAATCAGTGTGGAATGGAATGAAGGTGGCAGAGTCCAGTCTGACACCAAAATCTGAGAAATTTGGTGGAGCCCAAGAGGCACCCACATCCCTGTAGCTGTGATTAATTTAAGAATGCATTAAAAATCACGGGGTACCTGGGGACTCAGTCGGTTAAGCGTCCGACTCGATTTCAGCTCAGGTCACGATCTCAGGGTTGTGGGATTGAGCCCCACATTGGGCTCCCTGCTCAGTGCAGAGTCTGCTTGAGATTCTCTCCCTCTGCCCCTCCCCTCCCCCTGCTCACTCTCTCTCTCAAATAAATAAAATCTTTAAAAAGCACAATCAAAATCAAATCTTATAGTACCTGCATTGCTTTTTCAACTGGCTACTTAGTTGTCAGGATATAGCTACTTATTAAGTTGTTTGGACCTAACTACTTAACAAATGGCACTGTTAGGTATTTTGGTCTAGGATATTTACCAAAAAAATTTCTGAGACGCCAAGGGTACCGTGAATTGAGAAAGTCTGGACATGCCTGTGCCTGCATTTGGAGGCACTTTTTGAATAATCACTTGAGTTGCTTCCAACTGCCCTGCCTGGCAGGGAGTATCATTCCCTTTTCACAGCTGAGGGCTTTGAGGCCCAGAGAGGGCAAGCTACTTGCCCAAGTTCACCCAGCAGAGCTGGGCAGGAGGTGTGTTTGGCTATGAATTCCAGACACTTCCTTGCTTACATGCTTGACCTGTCAGTTCTTGAAGGAGTCAAAAGACATGGTTTGGAGTCCCAGCTGGACCAAACAATGGCCTTGAGCGGGTCACCGTGAACAGAAGCTATAGACGTCCAGAGCTTTTACAACTGGCTCTGTCCGCCTCATGAGCTTGTTGGTGGAAGATCTTTGTCCAGAGTAAAGCACCAGAGCTTTGCCCAGAAGCTGGGACTGCAGAGTGATAAGGTGGGAAAACACTGCTTTTGGGCTTAGTCAGGCTTCAGCTGGAATCCTGGGTTCTCCCCTTCCCTGCTGTGTGACCTCCGGAAAGCCGCTTGCCCTCTCTGGGCCTCCTTTGCCTGCTTTCAAGTGAACACAGGTACCGCCCATACAGTTTCATGAGTGTTCAATGTACTAATGCTGGGGAAGGGTTTGGCATGGTGAAAGAGCGCATCCAGTGGGGCATTTCCCCCTGTTCAGCAGAGGAAACATTTTAAAGCCATAGCTGCCCAATAAACTCATCCTTAGAAACACCGTCAGAACCTGGATACAGCCTGCCTCTCCCTCTGCCCACCCCCCCCAACCCAGAATTGACCATCCTCTTGCCTCGCATCTCCTGCCAGCCTGTTATGAGACTGGAAGTGCATGCCAGGTGCCTCTTTGGGCTTCTGGGAGGATCGTATGTCTCCTGACACCCAGCCTGGCTCGTGACTCATTAGTGCGGGTGTCAGGGAAGCTGTCACAACTGAGATTCCACGGTAAGGCGGCCCGGGAGGGAGGGAGGGAGGGAGGGAGGGAGGCTTGTGTCTCCAAAACCCAGCAGCCAGTGCAACCCAGAGGTTCTTCGGAGGCTGTGCCTCATTAGTGAAGCGGCTTTTCTTTCTTCCTTCCTTCCTTTCTTTTTCTTTTTTAAATGATACCTCCACCTCTCAGTACTTTTAAATAAGCTTTTATTTTTAGCTTCTCATCTTTGGGTCTCTGCAGCTTGACTGGCTCAAGCAGCTTCTGATCACCCTGGAGGAAATGGGAACAGAACGAGGGTTCTGGGCTGCCTTAGCAAAGTGCACCTGACCTGGGTGAGGGGGCGGGGCACTTCGAACAACAGACATGCACTATCTCACAGCTCTGGAGGCTGGGAGTCCCAGGTCAAGGTGGCCTTCAAAGGCCACATTCCCTCTGAAATCTGGGGAGAAGGATCCATCCTTGCTTCCTCCCAGCTTCCAGTGGTAGCTGGCAACTCTTGGTGTTCCTAGACTCGCAGGCACAGAATGGTGTTCTCCCTGGGTCTCTGTGTTCAAATTTCCCTCTTCTTATGAGGACACCTGTCAGTAGATTGGCACCCGTCCTAATCCTGTAGGGCCTTACCTTAACTTGATTACATCTGCAAAGACCCTCGTTCCAAAAAAGGTCCCAGTTACGGTACTGGGGTTAGGATTTCAGCATCTCCTTTCGGGAGACGCAATTCTCCCTATAATGCACTGTGAACTTGGGCCAAAGGTCTGGGGACTGGGAAGGGATGTGCTTGTGGGTGAGGGGTTAGGGCCATAGGCTACAGTTCCGTCGGGACATCCCTGCCTGGGTTTGTCCCCAGTCACCCACGGTGAAATATATCGGGGCAAGGCTGGGGGGAGGGGCCGGGGGCTCCAAGACTGGAATCCCAGCTCTGCTCATGAAAAAGTGTTGTGACCTTAATCACATGTCCCTGTGAGTCTCAGCGGCCTTTAAACACACACGTGCACGCACACTTACATAGTATATAGTGTATGCATACACATGCCTATACATTCACACACATATATAATCTGTTTAGCAATGTGTTTTATTTGTTCACTTATTTATGGGGGAAAGATTTATTTATTTATTTGAGAAAGGGAGCGCATGAGTTGGGGGAAGGGCAGAGGGAGAGGGAGAGGGAGTAACAGGCCCCCCGTCGAGCAGGGAGCCCGATGTGGGGCTCGATCCCAGGACCCCGGGATCATGACCGGAGCCGAAGGCAGACGCTTAACCAACTGAGCCACCCAGGCGCCCCAGAAATGTGTTTTACACATTCAATAAACTGTAACTATTGTTATCTCTTATCACCTCTGAGCTTTAGTTTTCTTAGTATATTTGCACGCACACACACATACATACACTTACATTCACAAATGCATATAATCTGCTTAGCACGATGTCTTACACAATCAATAAATAACAACCATTATTATCTGTAAAAGAGAGCAGACGTGTCTTTTGTCTGAATGACTCATCAGCTATACCGTATTTTACCTCTGAGACGTCCTTAGCTCTGAAATTCTAGGACCTGGACTAAAGAGGTAGATGGGGACCCATGGTGTGAGGTCCAAGATTCCTTGTTGCTTGTGAACCCAGAATAAGAAAGTCCCCCTTTGCCGTGCAGAAGCTTTTAATTTTGATGTAGCCCTACTGGTAGCTTCTGGAACGTGAGCTGGCTGAACCCTTAATGGAGCTGTTCACAACATGCTCGTATAAAATATGAGCGCGGCCGATGGTTTCTCAAGTCCAAACATTGTGTGAGGCTTTGTTCCTTCTGCGTCGCCTCCTGTTTCCTCCGAACAATGGTTCTGATCCCTGGTTGCACATCAGAACCCGGGGTGGGGGGAGGGGGCTTTGAAAAACCTCACTGCTTGTGCTAAGCCCCAGACCAGGAGAATCAGAATCTCCAGCGAGTTTGAAAACTTCCCGAGTGATTCCATGCACAGTCAGGCTGCGCCCCCCTGGACCACTGCTCTCTACCCTCTCTCCTTGGCAAGAATGTAATTCCTCCCTTGTCAGAGTGACTTCGGAAGACTTTTTTTTTTGATTCTTTATGATTAAGAAACCCCCGAAGTCTTTTCTTAACCAAACATCTGCCTTAATGGCTTCACGTAGATAAGACCAAAGAAGAGTTTAAATCCACCAATTTCGTGTCCTGTGGATGGCTTGATTTTCGGCAGAGTCAGGCAGCTCTGGGTTTGACCTTGGCCTCCACTATTAATGGGCTATGTGACCCGGGGTGATGATTTCACTACTCTGAACTTAGTATCCTCTTCTTGCAAACGAGACAACAGTGCCTTGCTCACAAGGCCACTGGAGGCAGAAGGGAGGGACATTCATTAAAGGACTTAGCCCAGGGCCCCATAAATGTACCGTAAATGTTATAGTATGCATGCCTCCAGTCTGCCGGCTATGGTCAGGGGATAGTAATAACAGTAAGCGCTCTCGAAGGGTGGAATGCCTCCTCCTAGCAGCCTAGCCCTCCACCACGAATAGGAAGAAGCGAACCCCCGTCTGCATCAAGTCAGCGGCTAGGACTCACAAACACAGTGAGGTAGGCGTGACGTCCAGATGGGCGTGCCAGTCTCTCGGCTGTAGCAGGTCAGAAGAGAGCTCCCCTCCAGCACGAAGCCAGGGTTGCACGTGTATTGGATGGTGGTGCCCACCAGCAGCACGGGATCCGAAATTAAGCGGGTCGAGTGGTCCACTTCCCCGGGGTCGGTGCAGTACATAACTACGGACGAAATCAGACCAAGAGGGCGTTTAGGACGCTCGATGATCACAGGGTTTGCTGAGAACTACAGGATGATCTGGAAAGTTTCCTAACTTGGTTCTTTTCCTGTTTGGAAGATAATGCCCTTGAGCTCATCAAAGGTGGTTGGAAAAGAAACCAGGATGAAAGAGACTCGAATTTAATTCCATTTATAGGAAGTAGCCCAAAGAAATGTTTGCATCTGGACCTACATACGAGGCTGTACATTGCACCGTTATTTGTAATGGTAAAAAAGAAAAAACAAAATGAAACAAACAAAAAACAATGCAGATCCTTTAACAGGGGAAGAGTTAAATATGGAACAGCTGTTCCATGAAATCCTGAGCAACCACCAAAGAGAGCAAAATGAGGGGGCCTTCGCTGCTTTCTCTGTGGTGCCTGAATCTAGTAAAACAAGGATCCGTTACTTTTCAATTAAAAAAATCAATATACACAAAGGGAAAACAATAAGCCAACTAAAAAAAAAAGAATGAAGTACACAACATGTGTGATATGAAAAGGTATCTGGATTACTGAGTTGAGAAAAGAGCAGTGGTAAAATACCCTCATCTGTATGTTTCTTTTTGAGTGTCTCTGTGTGTCTCCACACGCACAGTAAGCACGTACCTACGTCTATGTGCGTATGTGTAACACACAATGCAACTGGAACAACGTAGAATAAACTTCTAAGAGCAGCCTCCTTTCTGGAAAGGAAGATCATGAGGGATTTTCGCTCTGTACTTCCTAATTTTACTACTGCTTGAGTTCTGTAAGTAAACACCTGCTACTTGCATAATGGGAAGATATATTTATGTACATGTTTTGATGTCAAGAGTGTAGTTGAATCAATGAATGAATGAATGAAAGGCATTGACGACCCCCAGGGATTTCTGGGGGGGAACCCCACCGTTCTCAGGATGTTCTGCTGTTCTCATTTCACTAGAAGAGAAGCCACTGAGGCAGGTTGGTGAGTCTCTGTCTTAGATGCAGAACGACAGGCAACCAGCATGGGAACATAAACGCTGATATCCAGAAGGGGCCCAGTGCAAATTCATTTGCTCTAATTTGGGTCTTTTCTTGGCAAAAAGTGAGGCAGTTGAAGAGCTTCCCAGAGACAGCTAGTTTATGTCCCCTCCAAGTCTTTAGAACCCACTAACACAATGGGTCATTATTATTTAAAGCATTTTAAAAATCATCATCATCATTATTATTTTATTTATTTATTTATTTTTTAAGTAGGCTCCAAGCCCAGCATGGAGCCCAATGAGGGGCTTGAATTCAGGACCCTGAGATCAAGACCTGCACTCAGATCAAGAGTTGGATGCCTAACTGACTGAGCCACCCAGGTGCCACTTAAAAAATCATTACTATTAAAAAATTTTTAAAAATCATCATTATTCAAAAGATTTAAAAATCATTCTTCAAAAAATTTAAAAATTGTTCATATTTTAAAAATTTCAAAAATCATAATTTGAAATATTTAAAAATCATTATTATTTTTTTTTAAAGATTATTTATTTATTTATTTATTTGAGGGATTTGAGAGAGAGAGAGAATGAGAGATAGAGAGCACGAGAGGGAAGAGGGCCAGAGGGAGAAGCAGACTCACCGCCGAGCAGGGAGCCCGATGTGGGACTCGATCCCGGGACTCCAGGATCATGACCTGAGCCGAAGGCAGTTGCTTAACCAACTGAGCCACCCAGGCGCCCCTAAAAATCATTATTATTCAAAAATTTAAAGAATCATTATTAAGGCATGTATATTTAAAACATTTTATAAAGTAATGATGGGGCTTCTGGGTGGCTCAGTTGGTTGAACGTCTGACTTTTGGTTTTGACTCAGGTCATGATCTCAGGCTCATGAGATCGAGCCCTGCATTGGGCTCCATGCTCAGTGAAAAGTCTGTGCTTAGTCTGCTTGTCCCTCCTGCTCGCACTCTCTCGACATCTCTCTAAGATAAGTAAATACGATCTTTGGGGGGAAAAAAAGTAATGATGACGTAGATCATGTTAACATATCTGCAATGGGTCTCACCATCCATGGCGCTTCTCATTGTTGGTTTTTTTATTTTCCCTCATGATACACACATACACACACCCACCCACACACATGCACATACACACACTCCCCACATACTGTTGTGGAACAAGCAGATGTTTATGTAGCCAATTTTGAGGATTTTTTAGCAAGCTTTTTCATGTTTCCCCCAATTATAATTAATTTTCTTTGCCTTTGGAATATTTGTGACATGGACTGCATATAACCCCCAATACCCTCTTTCTCTGCTGACACTTAATATTTCTTATCGTGCAACTGGTCACTCAAGGCAGGCCAAGCAGGCCTACCAAAGTATCCCCAAGGATTCCCAGCAAGATGGCTGCAGAATGGAGGCTTGCGTGAGAGGAGGTAGGAAGCAAATGGTTAGTGGGAAGAGGCCAGCCTCAAATTTAGCTCCTCCCCCACCCCACTAAGATTCAGTGTAAAAGCCAGAGAAGCACCCCCTTTTCTCCTACTTTTCAAGACACCAGGCGCAGCTATCACCAGCCATGCCTGGCCCACACTCCTGAGGGCAGCAAGCAGAAGGCGCCAGGAGGCTGGGATGGGTGCTCTCGGGATGAAGCCAGCTACCTGTGACAGGGATTTTGAACCCGGGCTCCAAGGTCAAACTTAGATTGGTCTTGTGTGGCTACTATAGGTATTTTAATGACGAATTTGAATGATGTTTTCTACGAAGGTTTCACCGCAGTCTACACCACTCCCTATTGTCTCTCCCTCAACATATTTCCCTCATTCACATTATCTGCCAGGCTTCTGGAGGCCCCTGAATCTGACATCCCTGCCCTAGAGCTCCAAGAGGACATTTGTGAGCTGTGCCGGCGAGCTGGTGGAGTAGGAGGGAGGCCAGATCCTACATGAAGTGACTTCACTGCATCTACTTGAAAAATACTCATTGGGAGGGATTTACCCCCCCCCACTGACCTAGAGGAAGAAAACAAGATGACTCTTACTTTTCTCACAAAACGGGGGGTCGCTGCTCCAGCTGAGGTCCCACTGGCAGGTAAGGGTGTCACTCCCCACGATGTCATAGCCCGGGTCACACTGGTACGTGATTCTGGCTCCTCTCACAAGCTCCGTATGAGAAGTGGTTTTCCAGCCGTTCTGGATCTCTGGCAGGTCTGAGCAGGAATCATTCCTTGATACCTCTTTAAAACAAAAACATCGTCCTTAGATGAGGAGGTGGGTTTTTCTGTGTGGGGTTCCCTTTATGAATGTCAGAGGAAAGAGCAAACAGAAGAAGAAGTCTCCAGAAATAAGTAACACACTTCGAAATCCCTTAAACCACAAGAACTCTGCTATAGTGAGATTTTATGGTAAGCTCTTCCTTACCAAGCATTCTTTTGGTTTGACCAAGTCAGTTTAGGATTTAGAGAGAGACAGAATCCTAGCCCTGCCACTTATTCGCAATGTGATTTGGGGGGCAACCCCTTCTCCCTGTGTCTCAGGTCCTCACCTTTCATGAGGCCCACCCCACCCTGTTATTCTCACCTCCTGGAATTCACATTCTCGTGTACTCCCCGCAAAGCCCAGCAAGGCTGATATGCACAATCAGCCGGCTATTGCAGAAGTGATGATGTGTGGCTCCCGAGGCGAGGTCATAAGGGACGTTGAGGAGCTCTCCCCTTGCTCTTTGGAGAGAGCAAGTGCCACCCATGAGGATGCTCAGGCAGCCATCCGGAGTGATCCATGTGGAGAGAATCTAAGGCCTCTTGCCAACGACTGGTGTTGACTTGCTAACCACACTAGCAAGCCATTTTGGAAATGGAGCTTCCAGCCCCAGTGAAGCCCTCAAATGAATACAACCCTGGCTGACATTGTGACTACAGACTCATCATGAGAAATCCCCAGTCAGAACCATCCGGCATGAACTCCTGAATTCCGGACTCACAGAAAGTGTGTGATCATAAATATGCATTGCAGTGTGCCTGGGTGGCTCAGTTGGTTAAGTGTCTGTCTTTGGCTCAAGTCATGATCTCCAGGTCCTGGGATTGAGCCCCGCATCGGGCTCCCGGCTCATTGGGGAGTCTGCTTTTCCCTCTCCCTCTGCCCCTCCCCCCAACTCATGCTCTCTCTCTCTCTCTCAAATAAATAAAAACATCTTTAGAAAAATGTGCATTGCTAATTTGGGGGGCATATTTTGTTATACAGCAATAGTAGCTAACACACTCAGCCTCATCCTAAGAATGTCTGTAGATTCATGGGTTTGATGGATTCTTAATATATGTTTTTGTAATACAGATTAAGATAAACACTCAAGTGTTGAAATAAAAATAATTATTGGTGCATTCTTTAAATCATGTTGCATATCATCAGCGAACATTAACCACACTCCAAAATAAGCTACACACAGCTCATTATCACAGATTGGAATAATCCTGTCATCCGCAAATCCTCATTACTGAGGTAGCAATGCAAAGCCCACTATTACTGTTCTTGCTTCCAAGTGCCCACTGCACAGATTTTTAGAGGAGAGCTAATTATGCAGTATAATTAATCTGCAGTTCTTATGTGCTTCTGGGGGAAGCAAAGCACCTTCCCTGTCTGCAGGAAAGTCATTCTGAGAAACAAGCGATGGCTTTTCCTGGGATTTCATCATGATTTTATTTGGGGAATGGAAATCTCAGGGGTGTCTGCAAGAAGAAGGGGAGAGGGAGATGGCTTCTGGAATTGCTTCGTGGGGAACAGGAGCCTCTATTTTTAGGCCTCTGAAAAATCAGCCAAGCCCTGGATTTAGGACACAACTAAAAATGCTTAAACTGTGGTTGAAACAGGGGTAGATAATGGGTATGTGGTCTGCCTTGTGCCAAATGCTTCGAGACTGAGAAAGGTTTGCTTGTCTGACTCTTCAGTCTGAGCCAGCATGGTGACATGCTCCCGTGGGACCCCCCCTCTTTGTGGTGTTCATCACATTCGTGATTATCGAGTCGGGGACACTGTCACTCAGATCTTGGCCTCACTGTTTACTAATTCAGTGGCCTTGCCTAAGTCAGTTAGCTTTCCTGTTCTTCAGCTCCTAGGCTCTACTCCCAGAGACTCTGATCCAGAAATCTGTATGTTTAGCCAGCACCCTGGAGGCAGGTTCTGGCATCATCATCCTTGTGGGCCCTGAACTTTGTGAAGAATGAGAAAACTGGCTTAGGAGTTGGAGGACTTCCCTTCTGGTCATTGTTTTAGAAGCTGTGTGACTCCAGTCATGTTGATAAACATCTCTGAACATCATTGTCCTCAATCGTAGAATTGAGACAAGAATCATGACCCTGTCTATCGCTGAGGGCAATGTGAAAACTAATTAATGTGCAGTATATGACACTTAGATGAGTTTTATATGGAGTCATTCATTTGTTTGATTAACATTTTGTGAGCACTTACTATATGCCAGGCACTGGAATATGGGGATCTGAAGTCAGGTTCCCAGTCTCATAGTTAAGATCAGCATCATGGTCCAACTTTTAGGTAAAAGAGATACCTAAATGCACTGAGTACATGCCACCATTTACTGGTCTTATGCTCATGGCAGACCTCATCCTAGGAACTACTGTCATTTGAGTGGAGTTGACCTACAATAAGGAGTTTACTTATTATCCTAGCATTAGAGGAATAAGCACACAAGTGACCAATATCTCTTTGAAAAACACTGCTTGCTCATCTCTGCTTTTTTATTCCCTTGCCTCCATTCCCTTGGCCGCAGACACTGACAAAGCACAAGGAGCAATGAGGAGAATGGTTCTTTGCTTCTGTCTGGATAAAGCAAAATTATGGGAGGTCAGAACCAGGTAAGCCCAGAGTGTTCCTATGGAAGGTTCTACCAGTAGTCCTAGCAGATTAGCCTTGGCCACATTGCAGAGCTGGGTGTCGGCCTTGAGATCATTTTAGGAGCTTCAGAAATCTCCAGATGACCACAAAACCCCATGACCTTTCCATGTGATCTCTCTGCTCAATGAGAATTGCATCTGTGTCTGGTTAAATCCCTGGTCCTGGTGCCTGGTGCAGGGCCTAGCACGTGTGAAGAGAACCAAACTCTCTAGAAAATGGAGATATGCATTTGAAGATGAAAGAAAATAACCTATGGAAGAGTTCCTGCCAATTTCAAATTGTCACACAAGTCTAAAGTTTCAGCTTCAATAAAGAGGAGCACCTCCTCTTTAAGATGGCGCCAAACTGAATGTTGGCCAGACTTCTGGGTTAACTTTAAGCAGCCTTGGATAGGGTCAGATTTCTGTCACTGAGCTGAAATGGGGTTTCAGAGTGTTATTACTGCTGAATGGGGTTTTGGAAGACTGACTTAGACACCAGAGGAGACAAATGAGCAAAACTATGACATCATCTTCTGACTAGGAGGCGGGGGGCAGGGGAATGAGGAGAAGAGAAATCTAAGGAGAGAGACTGAAGCCAAGTCACCAGAAACTCTCCCTCCAAAGGCAGCTGACTCTGGACGGCATATCGCCTGGGCAGCCAGCACAAGCCGTCCCCCTGTGCCCAGGGCCCTGCCCAGTAAAGAGAGGGGAACCCACAGAAAGTAGCAGCAATAATAAGGGGAAAAAGGTCCCCGGGAAACATAAAAAAGATCAACACTTGTGTCTGTCCCTCTGATAGAGGTACACAGAGTGGGCAGGGACGAGAAACGTCTACCAGCTGGAAACACACACACAAAAAGGCAAAGGACTTATTTTCACATGCATATGGCTCTTTGAGACAGCCAAAGGTCAGGGAAGGGGCTTGTATGTTAGAGGCAAGAGGTGGGACACAGAGAATACTTTATATTAGAGATGGATGCGCAAGTCCTCAAGCCAGGGGGAAGAAGGAATCACAGACACGGAATTTGGCTCAAGCCAGACGATCTTTGATGGTGGGCGTGGTAGTGGGGGGACTTGGTAGAATGAAACCCCCTTTTTTCCCCCTTTTTCCGTCCTAGAAATCAAGATGTCTGCCTCATACCTGGGTGACCCAAGCAAGTTCTCTGATTGCTGGCTGAATCCTGCCCATTGAAATCCTCAGGGTGCAACCACCCACCATCTTGGGTGCCAAAAGAGGTGAGGTCTTAAGTACCCCCTTGTGTCTCCCAAGTTCTCTGCTGTTGCCAAGAAAATCAGGGGTAGAGAAACACTAAGAGCCAGGGGAGCCAGGAAGCCCGCGTGTGAGCCTCAGGGTCTGCCCCCGACGAGCAAGTCCTTTATCCTTGGTGGCCCTGGGCTCCTTCTGCTGTGACATGATAGGGTTGGAGCAGAAGCTTTGTCAGTTCAAATCCTTTTCAGGGCTGGGATTAGTGGGACTTCACAGTGGTCCCCGGGCTGCTGGTGGCAGAAGCAGTTGGGTGGGGGTGGGGGTGGGGGTGAGGGTAGGGACGGAAGGAGTTCTGTTTGGGCCATGTTTAATCTGAGTTGCTGGTTAGACATGCAAGAGGGTAGTTAGCAGGGATTTGGGTAGAGAGTTCATGGGGGAGGTCAAGGTTGGAGGTACAAATTAGGGGCCAGTAGAACACAGAGAGGCGTTGTATAGAACCTCGGGACTGGAGGACAGTGTATGGGGGGAGAGTCTAGACAGACAGAGGACAGGGCTCAGGGTGGAGCCTGGGATTCTCCAGTGTTCCGAGGAGGGTGACGGAGCCAGCAACGAAGAAGGGGGAGTCACAGGTGGGGAATGAGGAGGGAAGGCTGCGGATGGAAGAAATGGTAAGAAGAAGGTGTGGGATGGCCAAGTGTGAACTTGGCTTGAACTTCATAGCAGTTGTTTTGGGTTTTGTTTCTGTTTTATTTATTTATTTATTTATTTATTTTTTTAAATGTTTTATTTATTTATTCATGAGAGTCAGAGAGAGAGAGAGAGGCAGAGGCAGAGGGAGAAGCAGGCTCCCTGCCTAGCAGGGAGTCCAATGCGGGGCTCGATCCCAGGACCCCGGGATCATGACCTGAGCCGAAGGCAGATGCTTAACCATCTGAGCCACCCAGGCGCCCCTTGTTTCTGTTTTAATGTGAAGGTGAGAGAAATGGTTTGGAAGCCACATTGAAGAGCAAGGAAGACACCGCTTGCTTCTCTGGGTCCTACAGTACAGGAGGTGGGAGAGAATGTGTGGTCTCCATTGGATGGGGCTACAGGGGAAGAAGAGCCCTTAGGGAGAGCCCACCTTCAGTTCAGGCCAGATGGCGGAGATGCTGTTTTGAGAAGTTGCAAATGCAGGTGAGTGTGCTGATGATGGAGTCCCAGTTGACTACAAGGGAAACACTGCGAATCTGAAAGTCATGAGGCATCATATACTAAGTCCCGGTATCGACCCTCTGGAGCAGCTATCAGTTTTTCCATTTTACAGATGACAAAAAGGAGGCTCAGAGAGGTTAAGTGACTTGCCCAAGATCACACAGCCATTGATAGCAGTATTAAAACTCAAACCCTGGTGCTTCCGACCAGAGAGCCCAAATGTTTAAAAACTACACATATTTATTGTGCCAATAAATTAGAAGACTGTGCCAATATATTAAAAGACCCGTATAGCACAGAACCCTCCAAAAGACATATCTAGAAGAAACCATCTAAACACACACACACACACACACACACACGGACTGGAGGAGACACTTACCTACGTAGTTCATGATAAATCCCTGGCCTTTCCCAAAGATGAGGCCAGCAGGGTCCGAGTGGAACTGGATGGTTAAGTCCGGCGTGGACGAGTACAGCTTCTGGGGACCACTGTTCCCAAGGTACTGCCCCAAGATGTGAGGCATGACCTCATCGCCGTCATAGATAGTCAGGATGTCGCTGTTGCTCAGGTTCAGGCTGGGGGGCGGGGCAGACAGAAGAGGAGGGGTCTTGTGAAACACAGTTATGGGCATTCAACAAGCCTTTGATTTATTTTTTCAGGCAACACACAGGTTTGTGAAGTATACTTGGTGGCAGGCTCCAGGCTAGGAACTGGGGTTGAGGTAGGCAGAGACCACAGATGTGAGCAGGACATGCTGATCCTGCCCACGAGCGCGCATGGCACTGGGTTTGGGGAGGGACTGGGCTTTTGAAGACTCACGCAGGAGATGGTCTTCCCTACAAGGAGCTCACTGCACGGTTGAATGCTGAATTGTAAGTTCTACTGCCTTCAATGCCAGCGAAACTGAGTGCCGGGCCCTGGGCTACCCGCTGGGGGTGTGGCATGGGTCTTCCATTCTTCTCGGATGCAGAACAAGCTGACTGCTTTCTAATTAGAACCTGCATCTTCATGTCAGGTGAAATGAGCCTTCCAATCATTATGTGGCAAAGTCCTCAAAATCAAACCCGGGTATCTATGATGTTTAGGAGATGGGGCGGAGGGCGGGACGGAGGCATCTTATTCCTGAAATATGCTCAAACCTGTTATCGATATTCATAACACGAAAGGATGACCCATTTCCAAAGGCTGGAATGCAGGAAAGCACCTTGACACTAAATATCAGGGCTGCAATGGACAGTTAATAATCCAGAGAGCACTTCCGGGTGCTGCAGACACATGGGTCACGTGAGGTGTGCTAGATGCAAATTGACCTCTGATTGAAAGAATGAAAGATAAGTCAGCATTGGCTGCCGACAGATATTAACTCATGCCTTTTTTTCCTTCCATTCTCCTTCCCCCTCTCTTATGTCTTTCACCTTTTCTTGTGTCCTTCTCCCCAATATTTTTGAATACCTCCTATCTGCCAAGCTTGTGTCAGGGGACACAAGAATCTCAGAGCAGTGGTAGATTTAGACTAGGAAACCAGGGATTGTGGTAGCAATTACGATCCAGGCAAGTGCAGAGGGAGGAGACTGGGGGGGCATCCTGGAGGCCCTCCTGGAGGAGGTGATGCCTGCTTTGGATTCTCAGGAAAGATTAGAGGGCTAGAAGGTTGATAAGCAGGGGGTGGTGAGATGGGAAAGCACAGGCAGAAGGAGATAGGGATGGAGATCTTGGCTCTTAAAGGAACTTGCCCAGTGGTCAGTGATTCTCGGCTGTGGGTATAGACATGGAAGCCTGGAGGGCTGTAGGAGCCAGACCCTGAAGGGCTTAAAGAGCCAAGTTTATGTGTTTGGATGTCATCTTGCTTGGGATGGGAGCAGACAGACACTGTCTGAGGAGAGGCATTCCAGGAACTGGCCTTAAGCGAAGTTCCTAGAACTGATGCAGAGTGCTGATAGTCCTCGCTCCTGACAGCGTCATCCAGTACCCCAGGATGGTGTTCTCCTTCCCCAGTCTGGGAGGGCGGAGGAGGGGTGGAAACCACCCAAGCCCGTGCTTCCTTCTGGTAGTAAGAACAAAGCAACAGAAACACAAGGAACATTGTGGAAGGGTGGCTCCCAGAGGGCAGGGGATGTATTGTATTCACAGTGATGTCCTCCGCAGCACCTCTCATATTCCTCATGTAAAGTTGTCCCAAGGGCCGGCTTAGGGAGATTCCAACAGCCCCCGTGGCCACCATCAGCTTCCCTTGCACCACCCCCAAAACACCCTCTCCTAACAAAAGCTGTCCGCTGGTTTTGCATGTGTGGCTTCAAGACAGAGCCCCTAGAGTCATACCCTCTGCCAGTTTCCAGCGAAGGCTACAGCCTCTAAACCCTATTGTATTGAAATGCTGGAGTTGCCACCTTCTCTTGCACACCATAGGTGCTCGATAAATGCTAGGGTATGAAACATACTGCCAGAGAGTCTATTTGACAGCAGAAACCGTGCAGTTGAGGTCAGCTCTTGACCTGTGATAGGGAAGATCCTCTTAACTCTAAGACCATGAAAACATCAATCGTTCGCGAAAGCGCTGGATTAGGCTGGTGTGAAACATGGTAGATTGCCAATATTTATTTCTTAAGCTGACTTCACAGCTGATCTGCTGGTAATAGTGAGTTCCAGAGAGTCTGCAACTTGGCTTTACTCTATCTGTCATTTCAATGATCTAAATGCAGCACAAGCATCTTCAAGGGGGCAAATGGCTTTCATTTGAAAACCCTAGCATGGCTCTTTGTAAAGTAGGAAGTAGCAGAGTGCGCTGCCTTGGAAATCAGCAAGCTCTGGTTTGATTCTTGCCTCTGATACTGGCAAGGAGGGTACCAGTTTTTTTGTTTTTATGAAGTTCCTTGTCTGTGAATTTCCAGTCTATGTCATGGGCTTTCGGAGTGAGGTAAGGCATCCTGAAAATCTGGGACCAAACGCAAGATGCACTGACAGCATCTGAGCAAGTCTGGTCAAGTCATTCGAATGTTATGTCGTGTCACTGTATCGTTATGAACATCACCACCACCACCACCGCCATCATCATCATCCTTACCATCATCATGGTTGCCATGATCACGCTCTCTTTAGAATGCTGTTTACACCAAATGACATCAGATGACTTCCATCAGTAGTTCTCAATTAGGGGTGGTTTTTTTTTTTCCCCAGGAGACAGTTAGCCATGTCTAGAGACATGGTTGTCCCAACTAGGGGGGGGTGCCACTGGGGACTCGATGACAGGGATACTGTTAAACATCCTACACTGTGCAAGATAGCCTCCCACAACAAAGAATTATCTGGTTGAAAATGTCAATTGCACTAAGGTTGAAAAACACTAACTTATGTGAATGCCTTTTGTAAACCATGTGTAACAGACTATTCATTGTAACTTCTATTGTCCTGGGATTTCTGCAGAGGTCCCCTGAGCTAAGAATAAGCAAATAGCATTCTTACTTTTTTAAAGGGCTGTCTGGTCAGGTTTTCTCGTGAGAAGGAAGCAGCCCACCCAGCCCCTTCCCACCGCAGAATTCCCAGCCCAAGGAGCCCTGTGGAGGGTGTGGGAAGTGAGCCACACTTGTTAGGACCAGAAAACCTATAAAAATGAAGCTTCCACCCGAGAAGTAAAAAAAAAAGTAGACCATGAATGAAGGAGCAGTGAAAAAATGAGGTTATTCTCTGCCGAATCCTTCTGGATCCACCTTTTTGGTAGATGGGTTCCACCGATATATGCAAATGCTGGTAAGTGATCCCCTGCTCGTCTCTAAAGACAAGCCTGCATTTAGCCCGTCCGTCCAGCATAGTTGATACACCAGGGGCATCCAGGGTCCCTGCCGCTGGACCGTCCTCAGCAACTGAGATGAAAATGCAGACTTAGCAGCCCAGAGACTGGCCTGGGGCCGAGCAGGGGCTTTCCACTGAGGACCCGAGTGAGATGTTGACCAGAGACCATCCAGGGAGGCGCTGAGAAATCAGGATGTCAGCGTGACTCCAGAACAAAGGGGAGGTGGACAGGTGCCGGCAGGCAGGTGGGTTCGATGGGACTGGAATTGGGTGTAGCAGATCCCCCTCAGGGAGGATGCCACAGGGCCAGTCCCTGCCGGCTCCAGCCCCTCTCTGCTGCCAGGGGGCAAGGCTTTCCTGGAGCTCCTGCCAGGAGACCTCAGCTTCTGGGTCTCCTTTTGCCCTGTCTCCTCAGCCACTGCCCTTAGTTTTTCTCCATCCCTTTTCAGTTGGACTGTGGGACAGCACCTCCTTCATGGCCCCAGTCCCTCTCCTCCGCAGCCAGATGAGTCCTTCTGAAACATAAATCTGGTCCCTTCACGGAACAGATGAACGGAGAAGCAAAATGCGGTGTATCCCTACAATGGACTATCATTCAGCCACGGATAGGAAAGAAGCACAGACACATGCTCTACCATGGATGAAACTTTGACTTTGTGCGGAGTGAAAGAATCCCGTCCTAAACAGCCACGTGGTGCATGGTTCCACTGCAAAGAAATCCCCAGAATAGGTAAAGCCATAAAGACAGAAAGCCACTTGGTGGTTGCCAAGGGCTGGGAGGAAGGGTCTGGGAGGAACAGAGACCGCTGACTTAACAGGTGTGGGGTTTGTTTTGGGGAGGATGAGAGGGCTTTAAAACTAGATGGAGGTGTTGATTGCACAACATTGTGAGTGTACTAAATGCACTGAGCTGTGGAAGTTAAAATGGTTAAGGGCACGGTATGCAAATTTTACTTCAATTACAAAGACATTGCTCCTCATCTCAGGGTAAAGTGCAAAGTTTTGACCCTAGCTTCAGGGTTTCCCTGTACCTATTTTCTGCACACCCTTACCTCCCCACAGCTTCATCCCTCACCATCTCTTTCAACCCGGATATTTTACACTCCAGACAGAATCAATTACTCGTCAATCTCTCTCCAAGTAAATGTAGAAGCGCCTGCAAGGTTTTCCACAGGCCATTGTCCCCTCTAGCCTGAATCCTTATTTAGCCTTATGGCTGTAGACCTGGGTAACTCCTCCCTCCCTCATCTCCATCACAGTCTTCTGTGATTTACTCATACAGGGAGCCCTCTCTGCCCCATCTGCGTCTGGGCTGGGGGCCCCTTCTGCGCTCACCCCTCCTACGGAGCTCAGCACGCGGCGCTCCAATGGTCTGGGGCATCTGCACCAGACCAGAAGCTCCCTGAGGCCGGGGGCAAGTCGGTCCAGCTCACTGCAGTCTGTATCCCCAGCTCGGCACCGTGCTGAGCGTGTGTTGGATGAATCAGCACCAGCCCAGGGGCAAGTGTCTGGATCTGAGCTTCAGCTCCCACCCAGGGTGGGCTGTAGCTCTGACCTCATCTCTGCCTGGGACCTTGACCCCAAATGGACTTACTTGCACCAAACTTGGAAGGGGAACTCCTCTTGTCCTGGCTGCTTTCAGCACTTGCCTCCACAGGTTAACTGGGAAGCTCTGGTTCTAGACTGGAGCTGCCTCAAATGATTTCTGCCCCATCAGCCTCCTTGGCCCTGATTGCCTACACTCTCCAATCTTTTTCAGTATGCTGGCTGCCAGAATCAAGCTTGGCAC